CTCGTGGCTTTCGGTCTGTGGAGGGCGGGGGCCCCCAGCCTGGCCCCAACCACAGCAGCCCCAGCCCCAGCCCCAGCCCCAGCCCCAGCCCCAGCCCCAGCCCCAGCCCCAGCCCCAGCCCCAGCCCAGCCCAGCCCAGCCCAGCCCAGCCCAGCTCAGCTCACAGCCCAGCCCAGCCCAGTTCTCATGCCTCGCAGATGCCGACAAAAAGGAAATTCATATATATCATATCATATCATATATATATATATATGTATGTATGTATGTATGTATGTATGTATGTATGTATGTATATATATATATATATACATATGAGGTTTGCGCATCCGTTTTCATCACAGACAGGACATCATGTAACATGGCAGACACTCAGAGCACTTTCACTAGCACAAAAGGACTCACTCTAAGCGGAAGATCCAAGCAGCATCCAAAGCAACAGTCATCAGTGTTCAGCGGAAACCAAGTAAATGATGTCACAAGCAAATAGGAGTAAGCAGGTACGTGAGCCAAGCGTCCCCAGCTCATGTCAGTGATCTGTAACGGCCTCTTCGTTGGACTGACACTGTTACAGATCAGGCAGTCCCCCTGCTGAAAACATCGAACTACACTTCTGCACTTCTCTCGGAAAACCCTTGGGAGCAGGGTGGGATACACACACACACAAACACACGCAGAGACATGTTTTCCTACATGCAAGCATGCGTTGGACCAGTACCTTTTGCAAAGACTGCATGGCCGAGCGAGAGTCCCATGTGGCCTTCATGCTGCATTCGGAGGAGGGCCATGATCACAATATGCCTTGTTCGTTTCAGACGTGCAACATGTTGATCAACAGGGCTCCAGTGTTCTCGTCGCCCGGGGCCTGGATTTGGTGCTGCCTGCTGTCGCTGCGACCCTCGCGCGCACACACACGCACACATTCATGCACTAAGGGAAGCTTCTGTGCTGGTTGCGTCGAGGGCCGAAGGCGGAAGTAGATGCAACCCCAAGCGTCCCATGCGGAAATTGCAGCTCTTGAGAGTTTTTGGAGGCAACAGCGGCAAAGGTTTCCGCTGCAAGCCGGCCTCCCGGGTGCGGAATCCACATCAAACAGCTGCACAAAGATGCTGTCTGTCTGTTTTAGGGAGTCAATTCTTAGTTTGAGCTGCGCTCAAACACTCTTGACAGCGTACGTGTTCAGTCTCTTGGCATGACACAGCGTAGGTTGCAGGCGGCTGGTTGCTTGTTCGACGCTAGCGGAACAGGTGGATGGATTCACGGAAGCATGGGTCTGTACCGATACAGGAAACGGGTGGAAAGGGCATTTTCCCTGCAACAAACAAGTTTGCCGTTTTCCTCAGCACGACATGTGACGACAGGGTCGACATGTGCTGTTCAGCGAGCCTCGGGCCACGGGTCGATCCACGAGCAAACCTGTGATGCACATGAGACATCTCCATCCGCGGAGCGGGGGGCTTGGTTTATTACCTCACAACGTGGGATTTTTGGGAGGGGTTGGGGGGTGGTGGGGTGGCGGGGTTACGGAACCGGGCCTTTTCGGGCGGCTACATCCCGAGTCATCTTGGACAGCATTGACATGCGGATTCTTCTGGGTCCAGCTCCTTTCATGGGCATTCGCGCATTGCATTGTCTAGTGACTGGAATAAAGAAATTATGCTCGGAATACGGGCCAAATAAGCCTCTGCTGGTATTACATTGAAATGTCCTAAGCGCAATCACAAGTATATTGAGTTTTTTGCTCTGTCTCCTTTCGGAGCGAGAACCCGGGAATTAAGGTTGGAATAAGGCTGAAATAAGGGTTGAAATAGAGAAATTAAGCTGGGAATAAGGGTGGAATAAGGGAATTAAGTCTGCAATAAGGGCGAAATAAGGTTGGAATAAAGAAATTAAGCTCGGAATACGGGCCAAATAAGCTTCTGCTGGTATTATATTGCAACGAAGACACAGGTGATTCATAGGCGCAATCACAATTATATTGAGCCATTTCCTCTGTCTCCTTTCGGAGCGAGAATATAGGCACGATAAAGTCTAGAATTGGACAAAGGACGTCAGGACTTAGGTCAAGTCTCCCCACAGGCACTATTTGCTGATTTCTGCGCCCGTATTCCCTAGTTAATCGGTGCTTGTTTCCTTCCGCCCTCCCCCCCTTATTCGCTAGCTAATCGGTGCTTATTTCCTGCCGACCTCTGCCAGAATTTAAGCCCTTATTAAGCGCTTAATAAGCGCTTAATACCTTATTTCTCGCAACCCCAAACCGAAGACACGAAGCCTTATTCAGTCCTTATTCCGGCGTTTTTCTGGAGGGGGGGAGTTTGGAGGGGGGGAGTGTAGACCCCCATGATAGTCTAGGTCTCGGATATTTTGGATTCGATAGCCACAGCTTGTGATTCCCAGGAACTGGCCTCATGGGCATGTCGTTGAGTTCTCGAAATGCAAGTATCTGAGTGCATGTCGTCTGCCTCTCCCAGTCCTTGTCGCCAGCCCTGTCCATTGTTGAGCTTTCGTCCCAGCCCGTGGCTCTCAAGTGACGCTGGTCGGACAAGACCACTGCCCAGAGATGTTTGTTTTTTATTCTGACCCTAAACCCTAAACCCTAAACCCTAAATTGTATGTTCTTGCAGAGCACGAGGCCCAGCCGCTGGAGGCACAGATGCTGCGTTTCGGCGTTGGGGACCGTGTCGAGTGCCGTGACCGCACTGTGGCACGGCTCCGGGAAAATCCCGAATGCAACAATGAGTCAGGGAAGGCCTAGCCCAGTTTGGGTGGTTACATCACCGTCGCCCAAATAGTAGCAATTATCCTTAAACCTACATGGCCCCAGACTGTTACATCACCTGAGAAATAGGATGAGTAAAGTATTGGGCTACTAGTTGTGATTATTGGGCTATATAGGGGTAAATTCTATATGGTAATGTAGATTGAAGGAGAATTGTTACTATTTGGGCGACGGTGAGGTAACTACCCAAACTGGCCAAGGCCTTCCCTGACTCAATGATGGGTTAGTTAGACTTTCACATCCGGATGTATGGATACCGGTCTGAAGCATAATGACTAGTAACTGACTAGTAACTGACTAGTATGGAGCATTTTGCATACGCATCTACACACCACCCCCGACCTATCTAACCAGCCTCATACCACATTGTACAACAGTATGTTGAGAAGCCGACCTTTATGTTGCTGCAGGTGTAACATCGACGGCTTCCAGACTGGAACAGTGGTGAAACTCAACTACCACGATCCCGGCTGGCCAGACGAGAGAACAGTACCTTACCAGGCAGCTGCACAAACCTGTGCAATCTGCCACACACCCGCCTCAGTGCACGCGCGAGGTGAGGTTGGACAGTGGCGTAACCATTTTTGCCACCAAAGATTGCGATGAGTGCATACGAAAAGCTGCAGGACAGAATCTTGCGTCCTTTTGTTCTGTTGAGTCACATGTGGCATGTGGCAACCCAAACCAGAGCATCGACGCAAGCCTTTCTGGCTGTTGACGAATGTGCAAGACTCGCCAAGGTAGTGTCCGTGGCAGCAGCTAGAACACCAGACCAGACAGATAGCCCTACGAAGGCTTCGTTGAGAAGGCTAAGTCCAAATCCAGCCATGAAGTCCCTGCCGATGGGCGCGGCCTGGCCGGTCATGGACCCCAGCATGATCATGATGATGAACCCTGGGCAGGGAAATTGGATGCAAGGCCAGGCCTTGCCTGTCCAGGTTCCTGGTCAGCTGACTCCACAAATGATTCACATGTCGATGATGGGGCAGATGACCCCTGGGCAGATGACGCCTTTGGGACAGACACCCGGGCTCATGACGCCTGCGTTGCCCATGGAGGGAGCGCGCAGCAAAGCCTCCGGGCCGCCTCCCCCAGCCAAGGCACAGACACCGACGCCGGCATCGACACCGCCAGAGCGCTCTTCTGCGGTTTCTGGGCCCCAGCGGGCAGCCCCGCCGATTCCTGCACAACGCCCCAAAGTGCCGGCGATGGTACTCCTGAATGTGCCGGCGGAGAAGCCCACGCACCGGCTCGTGAAGGACGTAGCGGAAGTGGATGCAATGCTGCTGAAGGACTGGGCGTGGTTCCAGCAACTCGCTGGGGAATGCGGGCCGGTCTTCCCTTCTGTGCCCTTGGCCGGAGCTGCCTATGGAAGGAAAGATGTGTTGAAGAACAAGGCATCAGACATCCAGGTGCTTTTTGTCCCTGCAGATGTGGGTGCTATCGGCGAGGCGGTCGCTAAGGTGGTTGCAAACATGGGTGGTCGCAGCCACCTGGTCGGGGATTGGCACGACCTGCACCTTAGCCTTCACAGTCACGCATTCTTAGAGTCGAGGCTTTTTTTTTTTTGGTTGGGGGCATGTTGCTTGTGTGCGACTCGAGATCTTTCCGCACAGGGGCCCGGAGATCAGTCAGTGGGGCCTCGTTGCCATCTTGAAGGATGCCAAAGCCTTCCTGGAGCGGCCACGAGGCTCCGCTTCGAAGCGGCAGAGGAAAGCCGATCTCCTGGAGGCGCCCGCTCCGAGCAGTCCCACAGAGGTGGCTTCACCCGGCGATCTGCCAGGGCATTTGGCCAAAAAGCGCAAGGTGGACAAGGACGCCTATGCGGAATGGTGCCGAGAAGTGAAGCACTTGGGCACGGCAGAGTGCACTTGACTTGATTTCCCCCTAAGCCCCAGGCCCCAGGAATTTTCTTCGGAAACGCTGAGCAGGTTAGAGTTTGACATCTCTTCGGCACCCTCAAGCCTCGAGGCCCAAACTCCCCAAGTGTCTGTTGACCCCACAACACATGCCTCCACGCAAGAAGAGGTGCTTTAGATCCGACGCTGAGATTCCGAAGTTCGCAAAGCGGGTGAGCGATCGGTGGCTTGCAGTGTTCGGGCCAGAGGCGGGCCATGACCGAATCGCATCCTTCCGCTTTACTTGACATTGAAAAGCCTTCGTGTCGTGGCTGTCGGCTATGGCCTTCAAGGGGCTGTCAAGGATTCTAAGGGTTGAGGCAGGGTGACAGTTGGGATGGTGCCTGTTTGACGAGATTTCATAGCACTCCAGGGTTTGCCCCATCCAAGCCACCCAGCATCACCTTAGGCAGCGAACTGCGAGTCACGGCCCAGTCAGGTGATCTTCGGTACCCTCGCCAAGTGCTTCTGCAAGAGAAAGTGCAGCTGGTGGCATCGATTAGCCACTCCCTTTGCCAACAGCAGTGATACGGGGGTTCGTATGGCCACTTCATCGTTAGCAATTCACCCCTACCTTCTAGAACAGAGGAATCCCACTAGGCTCCAAGGCTTCAGCAGTGCCCTACGCATGCAGAGACAAGGCGTTGACCTACGTCTTGCACGAGCTGATCATGAACAAGATGATTCCACAAGAGCATCGGCGGGTCTGCCTCGGATGGTGGATGAAACCTATTGGAAAGATCATCCGCTGCATGGGCTGGAAGGAGCGAGAGCCCTACTGCGAGCTCTTCGACTTTTGGTCCAACGCTTTCGAGGAGCCCCTCTTGACCGAATCGGAGCTGAAAGAGATACAGGAGTCCTGGGATGTCTGATGCGCTGCGCCATGCGGCTCTGTCAATTCATTCATGCATCGGTGACCTGGCTCTGTCTGGCTCTGGCTGGTTGTGCTTGAAGCACCCTAGCTGGCCAACGATGGCCACCAGCCTCCCAGCCTCCCAGCCGGGAACGGATTCAAGCGTTTAGCTCGCGCGCGTGCTCGGGCCGAAGCAGCAAAACATGCACTGTCGCGTTTTGGAGCTTCTTGCGTGGCTCCGACGTGCAGGAATACTGGCACGTGGGAAGATCCCTGTGACTGCCCCGCACTCAGAGCGGTGTCTCCACTCCTGGAATTCTGCAGGTGCTGATCGCCGTTTGAGTTGCAGGTGCTGACTGGATTCCTTGGCGCAGGGAAGACTACCCTCTTGAACTATATCTTGCGAACGCAGCATGGGAAGAAGTACTGCCGCCATGTTTCCTTTTTCGGGGTTTGCAAAGTTAAAATTCCGAACTGGCCTGTGCCTATCATCCTCCCCACCCAGAGCCAAGCACCCAGGTACGCCGTGATTGAGAACGAGTTTGGCGATGCAGCCATTGATGAAATGCTCCTAGACGAAGGCCGTACAGTCATGCAGTTGTCATGATCAGAGGTTTTGGTTGAATTGAACTGCCTGAGGCGTGGGCGTGCAGTCCACGATGGAGGCAGCGTGCCGGCGGACAGTCGCAGCGCAGTTCCACTGATTCGTCTCTCAGTCTGTGACCGTGCTCGACAATGGATGCCTCTGCTGCACTTTGCGTGATGACTTGGTGGCAGCCATTCGCATCTCTGCTTCAATGGAGTGTCAGACGGGCCCAAACCCGAAGCCTGGTGCGCCAAGGCGACATCATATCAAGCTTGGAGGCTCCCGGACTTCTGTCGCTGCAAGTTACCACACCATTCTGCCCAAGGAGCGGCTCGATTCCGATCCAGACGCGATGATCGATGGCAGCAGACTCTGTGGGCTTCAACCAGCAGAGGTGCCACTACTGCGATGTCCGAGGCATTATCATCGAGCCGTGGGCTCAGTGTTCCGAGTTCCGAGACACAGCCGTTGATTCAAAAGCCGTGGCTAGAACTCTCGGACGTCTGACCCCCTGCACGGCATACTACTGTCTACTGTAGATACTCCAGGCTATGTGCTCTCGGCCATCTACCCTGCACCAGATAAAGATGAGATACCTGGCAGCTTCCAAGTATCCGGGTACCAAGACCGACATCCTCGGCTGTTATCAAGGCCACTTGTAGGGGTCTCCCCTGGAATAGCAATAGAAGCAATGGTAATCAACTAGAATAGCAATAGTCATGAGCCGCATGTAATAACAGCTACAACATCGACGACAGCAGCAAGAGCACAGATAAAAATAATCACAACAACGCAACCACACCAGCAGTAAAAAGAACAAGATGACTTCTGACGATAACGGTGATCCTGCTGCCACTGCTGCTGCCGCAGTGCTATCGTGCTCCAGCCACTGCACAGACCGAAACCAAGAGGTCACGAAGGTAACTGTAACGCTCTCCTCCTCCTCCTCCTCCTCCTGCTCCTCCGTCCGCCCGATCGCTACCTCTGCCACTGCCACTACCACGACCACTACTACCACCACCACCACCGCCGCGACGACGACGACGACTACTAGTACCACAGCAGATGCTCCGAGTACTGGTAAGCAGTAGTAGTGGTAGTAGTAGTAGTAGTAGTAGTAGTAGTAGTAGTAGTCGTAGTCGTAGTGGTAGTCGTAGTCGTAGTCGTAGTCGTCGTCGTCGTCGTCGTCGTCGTCTTGGTCGGTCGTGGTCGCAATTGTGGTAGCGGTCGTGCTCGTGGTAGTGGTAGTGATAGTTTGGTGGTGGTAGTGGTAGTGGTAGTACTAGCTCTAGCACACGTACCAGTACACGTACAAGTGCAAGTGCACATACAGGTACAAGTACACGCTAATGCAAGGACAAGTACAAGTACAACGACAACCACAACAATAGCAACGACCGACAACAACAACAACAACAACAACAACAACAACAACAACAACATCAACTATTCCTACTCCTGCTGCTACTACTACTACAACAACAAC